AAGCTGAGCAACCTCCACCGGCTCGCGAACTGGATCATCGGCATGCACGGCTTGCGTCTCCTCCACCGGGTGCTGTCTTTGCCCATCACGATCATGCTCGCCATGCAGACGGGAAAGTACCGACTCGACGAGTCCATCCTCACCGGCAGCAAATGGAACGACGTCTCGGGCATCTGCGCTCACCGATCTGAGGCCATGTTTCACCTCAACCTCATCGACGTCACCGACCCGGCGAACCAGGCCGAGACGCTGCGCTTGATCGAGATCATCCTGTACGGCACGCCACAGAACCATTCAACGGTGCAGCCCGAGCCTGGCATGCCGACGCAGCGTGAGCTCGCGACCTCCTTCAGCCTGGACGAGTGCAAGGCCTGGTGCGAGGCGAAAAAAGCGGAGTGCTGCACCAGGGCCCTCGCGTCTCTCTCTCTCGATTCGTTACACCGATTCGACCATCAATGCGGCGGGCCGATTTCGACCCATCACAAATGTGGGAAGCCATTAACCTCCCTTGGCTTCCCACACAAACCCCCCTTCATGGGGGGAGCAGCAAATGAGGTAGTCTCTGCGAAATCACTGTCCCAGTGAATTCGCCCTAGAGGCTTCCGTGTGGACTCGCAGCTCCGGCTGGATGTCGGCGACCTAAAGCTCGGCGGTCGTCGCTTCGCGCCGGCCGACTCCCTGTAGGACGGCGACCGCCTCCACTGTGAACCACTTTTGATGCCTAATCTCAAAGTATAGCCAGGGGGGATACCCGTAGCCCCAAAGGTGAACTGCCTGATCGACTCCCCGGCACACGGCGGAGGAGGAGGAAGACAGCACAACCCCATCGCCAATCCTGTCGAGGTCGATCCACCGTCTCGCGCGTGAATCGGCCGCGACCTCCACCTCGAGGCGAGGGCCCACCCTTGTGTCGAGTGCCCCTCCAATAGCTCAGTAGAAGCGCGACGTGTTCTACGGCCGCGACCATCACCATCGTAGGTCCTTGCACTGCGACTGCGCCACCGGCCAAGCTCCAGTGCGGTTGACCCCCATCCAGGAACTGCCCGTCGACGATAGGGCTGTCGCCTCATCCATGCCGCTGACCGCGCCCAGCAGCGGGTGCTCGCCGCTGTCCACGGACGCGGCTCGTCAGGCGGCGCGGTGCCGCCGGCTGCAGCGACGGCTGTCCCGGCCGTCGCGTCCTCGAGAGAGGCGAGCGAGCCGGCAGCAGAGCCCGCATGGCCCTCACCGCCACAGCCGCTCTGCCTGCTGACCTCGCTCTCGCCGCCGCCGCCTGCAGCGGCGCCTCCGCGGCTCCGAGAGGACCCGGCCCGCGGCCGCGTCTCGTCGAGCGCCTCGTCGACGCCCTCGGCGACGCCTCCTCGCGTCGCGTGCCCATGCGTGGCGGCCGCACCGCCGGCAGAGCTCGAGTGGCCCTCCACGCCACCCCGAGACTGCCCGGCGATGGTGCCTCCGCCGCCGCGCGTTGCCGCCGCTGCCTCGCAGCGGCTCTGTGCCTCGGCGCCGCGCCGAGACATGCTCGGCGGCCCGCCGCCGTCCACCGAGACGAGGCCCGCCTCCTCGTCGTGCACCGCGTCGCTCGCGCCTCCGCCAAAGCGATCTCGATCACGCCTTGCGGCGACGGCGCCATCGACGCCGACTTGAGCCGCTGCTCTCGCCCAGCAGCGGGTGCTCGCCGCTGTCCACGGACGCGGCTTGTCAGGCGGCGCGGTGCCGCCGGCTGCAGCGACGGCTGTCCCGGCCGT